TATATATAGATGAAATCCTAGTCTAATTTTATTTTTAACATAAAAAAGAGTCTAATTTTAGTTTATTTAGATTATATTATATTGTAAAAAATAAACCTTTAAGTCTTAGATAGAAAGAGGGGCCTCATCTTCAAGAGTCTCTTCCATTCAAGGATCAATTTTGTACAATTTATAACAAGTAAAATTATATAAAGCATCAATTCTGTAATCTTAACATATATATTTATTTATTTCACAAACAATTAAACTAAGATTAGTTTTGTTGTTTTCCTTCTTGCGACTATGGATCTTGTTCAGCTAATTATTAGAATATTTAGAATTCTTAAATGTTTTCGCATACAACATGTTGATGTTAATAAATGATTAATTAAACCATATAATAATTAAATGATCATTTTTACTAAAGTAGGTTCACAAATCAGTGGGGCACTAATTTTTCATCATTTTAGCTAAATATTTTTTCCTACTTTAATCCTATCATTATTTATTTATTTAAATTAATTATCCTATCACAAAAAAATTTATTTTATCTTTTAACTTTTTCTTGAGGGTAATATAAAAAAATATAAATGATCTCTAAATTTTTAATTTGAAAAAAATTTTTAAAAATAATTATTATTATAAGAAAAAAAGAGTAATATTTATTTCTACAATAAACAATTATTACAATACATATTGTTGTTGTTCATATGGGAAAGGGGAGTATGAATCCTGGAGTCAAACTTGCTCCATGCTAGGGACTGATTGATATTCACTAATTCAAGTGGTCCTCCACGTGAGCTGGTATGTAGAATACATTTATTACGTTCTTATTTTATATCTTTAGGACATATATTAAAATTATAATAAATATATTTTTTGATAATAAATTTGTATTAAAAAAATAAAAATTGACTTTTAATTTTTAAACTGTCTAATTAAATTAATTCATTTAGCACCAATGTTAAAATTAGTGTTAACTTTTATATTTTTTTTATATACATTTATGATAAAAAAAAAGAGTATATTTAACTTGTGCCTTATAGGCACATGTTAAAAAAACTTAATATTAATTATGATAATATAATATTAACAAAATATCAAATAGAATTGTATTATTGTACATCCTCTTAATTGAAGATAAAAGAGGGCGATGGGTGTTTTAAATTGGATATTTTTTCTAATGTTAAAGGTTTTCTAACAAGTGACCTATGACAAAGATTAAGGTATAATTAATATATATTATAATAATTAATTTTAGTTTAAAAGGTAAAAAAATTAATTTATTAAT